AACTAGAGGATCAGAGAGGCGATACCGCCTCCTGGTATTGTACCACCAGCTGGAGTAAGTGCATTCGTATGGGAAGGAAAAAGAAGGGGGAGGGGTTGACAAGCTGTATGAAATGTAGTAAACAAGGGTTATCATTTTTTATAGATAATTATTATTTTTTTAAATCAGGTGGGGAAAAATAAAAGGTCAAATACAAGGATGTAGTATGGTCCTATGGTCCTATTGTGTGTGTACCAGCCAATGTGAAAGAATCAATTACAAAATTACCTGCCTCTCCACGTGAAAGCGGACTCATTAGAGTAAAATTAAAACGGAAGCTTGGATACAAAGGTCATCATCTATATCAGAATATATATATATATATATATATATATATATATATATATATATATATATATATATATATATATATATATATGCAGGCAATCAGTTGGCTTTTGTGGAAAAAAAACTGACTATTCATGCATCTGTAATATCATATAAGCTTCCTTTTTCTATAGCTTGTAGGAAAAATAGTAGAATTAAAATTGGATTTAATAAAACATTTTGTCAGTTTCTGTGGGTGAAAACTTATTATAAATTCTGAGAGAAATTAATTGCATGAATAGCATTTAGCATGCCACTGGACATTATGTTCTGTTAATGTGGTTATTTACATTAAATGAAGGATTTAATTGGTGAGATAGCTGTGTACCTTCACTGGAGATTTAGTGTTCACTGAAGTGACAATTTACATCTAATTTATGTGGGCTGAGCAAAGAGGCATTTTCATGGTGTGTCACTGGTCATATACTGTTTTATGAAATGAAAATTAACATGTAAATGAAGGAAATGAATGAAGTGATCATTTGCATTTAAATTATGAGGCTGAGCAAAGAGCCATTTTCATCGCATGTCACTGGGTTTGGTGAAAAGATAATTTACATTTAAGTGAAAGGCTTGAATGGTGAACTGTATTCATAGTTCCACAATGGGAACATAGTGTCTTAAAGATCTTTATCAAACTATCAGCATACACAGTATTATTAAATTGAAATTATATTGAAACAATGAAGAGCTTTTGTTCCATGTGTTATAAATGTGCAGTCTAGGGAAACTCTACAACATTCACTATTCTTATCTGAGCTGGAAGAAGGAATACCAACATTTGGGAATAGCTGTGGAAGATATTTTTACAGTGTATAGACTGTGTTGGATCATAGAGAAAGAAAGAAGTCAGCAAGGCAGAAAGCAAGATATAAAGTCCTAGTTTAAAGAAAAAGGCAAATAAAAGCTAGTTTTATAGCAGACAAGATATAACGGTAAGGTCAAATTTTTTGTATATATGGTACAGGTGGACAGTATCAAAGATGATATTTGTTGTGTGAATTTGAAATAATTTTATTCTTATTTTTTTATTCATTTAGTGTATTGAAATAAAGGTTCATAAAGGGAGGGTGTTACATATGGTACGTTGTTACATAATGCTGAGTTAGTTATTTGTGTGTCAGGTAATTTGAAAAGAGTGGGAAAACCAAGTTTTTTGAAGATGATGTGAAGCTGTTCCAAGGAAATATTGTTTGAGATGATTATGAAAATAAAGATTTAATGTTATTGAGACAGTTATATATGTATTGAATAATTTTTTTAATTGTAGCTATAGATATGAAGTATTGTAGTAAGCCAGTAAATTATATTCAAGTGTTATTATTTGGTAATAGTATTTTGAGTATAGAATTTTTATTGTAAAGCAATCATGTATAACTTTTGACTGTGGAATATATATTTTTTTATCTTAGTAAAATATTTAAGTATTTAATGATATATATTTTAATTCTTTTTATTTAGCTGAAAAGAAGAACAATTGAAACCCCATGATAAAGCTATGATTCTTGCACGTGTAAATGATCAACTTACAGCAGATTCAACAAAATTGTACATTTTCCCTAGAAACAAAGAAGTTGATGAACATAACAAACATTTGTTAGAGACACTTTGTTCTGACATCATTAAAATAGAAGCAGCTGATATCATCCATTCAAGGTCAGGACAAACAAAAAGAAAGAAGGTTCCTTTTGCTAAAGATTCTTTAGCGTTAAAACCTTTGATTGAAGTTGCTGTTAATGCAAGAGTTATGCTTACCACAAATCTTAATGTCAGTGATGGACTTTCAAATGGTGTCATGGGTACTGTTGTTAAGATAGATCAAGATACAAAACCATTAAACCAACCACAATTCATCTGGGTACATTTTGATAACCCCCAAATAGGTGCAAATACCAGGCAACAAACAGTAAGACCTGAAAATATCCACACAAACAGTGTACGACTTACACCACATGTGGAGCTTTTTGAACATCAATCAGTAAAGGTTGCTCGATACCAGTACCCTCTTAAGTTAGCATGGGCCTGCACAGTTCATAAAACCCAAGGGAAAACTGTCACTGATGCAGTAGTTTCGTTGAAGCATGTCTTTGCACCAGGTATTGGGTATGTTGCACTTAGTCGTGCTACTAAATTATCAGGTCTGCAACTTTTAAGTTTTGACAAAACAGATGAAGCAAACTTATATTGTGACATTAAAGTAGATTCAGCAATGAGCGTCATGAAAGCACTTAAGCCAGACACATTACCCATCTTAAGACCACTACAGAAAACACTTACAATTGTATGTCACAACATCCAATCTCTACCTGCTCATTTCAAAGACTTAACAAGTAATCCAGAGATGGCTGTGGCAGATATTGTAGCTATTACTGAGAGTTGGCTACATAGCCATGTCCCTTCTGCTAAATACTCTATTCCTGGTTTTCGGCTGATAAGATGTGATCGTCAAAATGACACCTCTAGAGGGGGGGTAGCGGTTTATATTCGCAACACCTTGAAAGTAACTGAGGTCAAAAACAACAGAGTTAGTGAGACAGGTTTTGAAAGCATAACTATAACCATTAATGGTTACTATATGAGCTTTATTTACCGTTCACCATCAATTGTAGGCCCAACTTTCAACAGGAAAATACAAGAAATTTTAAGTCAAAACAAACAGCCCATAAAACCATCAATATTGTTAGGTGACTTCAATACTGATTTGTCAAAAGCTCCTACAACATCTGTTTGTCTTCCTAGTTTACAATACCATAAGCAGATGATTGCCTCTCCAACATTTAGAGGTGTCAAAGGGTACACTAGCCTGTTAGATCATATTTACGTACAAAATGTAAGCACTATAGAGACCGGTACACTGTGCACATATTACAGCGACCATGATCCTGTATATGCTATTATACCTATCAATGCATAGAATATTAAATATGTACATATTTGTAAAAAAACAGTGTATATATGTAAGTATTGCTAATATGTATTATACGCAATTTGAAATATATTTCTTCAGAGATGTTAATTTGGATTAAGAGATGTTTTGGTTTTATTTCTATTATATATGAATATTCTAATATGTAACATTATGTTAATATATATCTGTAAAGAGATTTATTTATTTAACAATATGTATTTTACATGCATGTACAGATTGATTGTCAAATATTTTAATTTGTATTTCTCAAGAAAATTTTGGTCGGAAAATCTCATGGAGTGTCCCTCTTATTGTATTTTAATTGTTGTATTATATAAGTACATAAATAGATGCATTAATAGACACTTAATTGCAAAATATATTTTTTAGCATTTTTACAAGTAACACAGATGGGATTGTTTAATTAAATGTTTTATACTTGCATGCATAGATAGGCACATATCTAAATTTGTATTATGCTTGAAATAGATAATTCTATTAGTTTAACATTATATTTCTTTTAATGTATATTATACTTAAAACAGATACTTTGATTTTTTGATACATAATATATCTTTTAATGTTTATTATACTTCAAATAGATGCTTCGATTAATTTTTTCATAACTACTGTCAAACTATTAGAACATAGTTCTTAAAAGTATACCAATTGGAAATAAAATATTTTATAACAGACATGCCTTATATTTAATAACAAATATGTTAATATACAACTCCATATTCAATTAAACAGTAAGTATAGGTGAATCTTAGAGATATAAGGATCAGAAAATTTGCAATATGCAGTTTGTGGTGAAAGGTAGGTCAAAGGTCAAATTCATAGTCAAGTTCAATAGTAACTTTGGGCATTTCTCTGTCAGTATA